TGGAGCTGAACCCATCTGCATTGGAGCTGACCACAGAGCTCTGCATTTCACCTGTGCCATTGGGGCTGACCACAGAGTTTTGCATTTCAGCTGCATTGGAGCTGAACTCCCACAGCTTTGCATTTCAACTGCATTGGAGCTGACCCCAGAACTTTGCATTTCAGCTGCATTGGAGCTGAACCCATCTGCATTGGAGCTGACCTCAGAGCTCTGCATTTCAGCTGCATTGGAGCTGAACTCCCACAGCTTTGCATTTCAACTGCACTGGAGCTGACCCCAGAGCTTTGCATTTCATCTGTGGCACTGGAGCTGAACCCAGAGTTCTGCATTTCACCTGCATTGGAGCTGAACCCATCTGCACTGGAGCTGACCCCAGAGCTCTGCATTCCACCTGCACTGCAGCCACACCAGCACTGTCACCCCCTCACTTTGGGGGCCACAGCTCAGCCCTGGTGCTGCAGGGCACTGCAAAGCGCTGCCACCTCCACAGCACAGCCCTGAGCCTCCCTTTGTGGCCATTTCCAGCAGTTAATTACTGGACACGTAATTACTGAGTGCTCGCTGAGGAGCAGAGCAGTTACTGAGGATTGCCACTGACTTTCTTGGCAGAGAATTCTCTTTTTTAGAGCACTAAAGCGATGCATCTCTCCAGTGGTGGCATCCTGTGCCATCAGCTGTTTGCAGCACCCTGCAAATGTCAATGAATCCCATTCAGTGAGATCACACGAGTGTTTTCCAGCACACTGATGTCATGGCAAAGATCAGCCGCTCTCCCAGACCAAGATTTCCCAAAACAATTTAGTCAGAGCTGCTCAAAGTCCCGACTAAGCCACGCCACAGACATGTGATTGTGTGTTGTGTCTCCTCTCTGTTTCCAGCCCATGGCTTCCAGTGAACCACAAATATTTTTTCCATGTCTCCTTTCACTCTAGCAGGTTTGTGTGTCCTTTTGGTGAAGGATTCCAAGCCTGTATTTTTCATTACACCACTGCCTGGGCTTCTCAGTGCTCAGTAGCAGGAAAAAAGTCACTTTTTTTTCTCTGCATTCCCCATCTTTCAACCCAAAAACGTCACTAAACCAGAGGGGGAGAAAACTTCCAACTGCCCCACAAACGGACACATGAATTTACTCATAAGATAGAAAACAAAGCCAAAACCAGAATTTCAGCAGCAGGAATCCCCTCAAGGGCCACACACCTTTAGCTGACGTCTGGTGCATGCGGATCTTTCTGGATGCCACGAACTGCAAGACTCTCTCCACATTTTCCCTCATCTCCTGCTGGCTGCTGGGCTTGGGCTCGATGCCACTCAGCTTCTCACCAGCTGGAGGGAGAGAAAAAGCTTTATCAGAGGAGAGCTGAAGCTTTGGGCATTATCAGAGGAGAGCTGAAGCTCTGGGCACTGCCCGAGGCATCGCTGGCACCGCTCTGGTCTCATGGCTGGTGCTGCACGGGGCTGGTGGTGCTGCTCAACGGGAACCAGCACAGGAGTGACTGGAGCTGCTTAACAGGGACCAGAACCAGGAGTGACTGGAGCTGCTTAACAGGGACCAGAACCAGGAGTGACTGGTCCAGTTTAACAGGAACCAGTACCAGGAGTGACTGGTCCTGCCTAACAAGAACCAGCACCAGAAATGGTCCTGCTCATCAAGAACCAGTCCCAGGATTGACTGGAACTGCTTAACAGGAACCAGCACAGGAGTGACTGGAGCTGCTCAACAGGAGCCAGCACCAGGAGTGACTGGTCCAGTTTAACAGGAACCAGAACCAGAAGTGACTGGAGCTGTTTAACAGGAACCAGCACCAGGAGTGACTGGTCCAGTTTAACAGGAACCAGCACAGGAGTGACTGGTCCAGTTTAACAGGAACCAGAACCAGGAGTGACTGGTTCAGGTTAACAGGAACCAGCACAGGAGTGACTGGGTCTGGGGCTGTGTTGGGATGATGACAAGGTTTTGGGGCTGGATTCTGGCAGGATTTGTGGCCCCC